TTCAGGGTCCCGGTTCAGGGTTTGGGTTCTGGAGAAAGCCGCACACAAATGAAAAGAGACTAGAAAAGCATTAATTTAGGATTATTGGGGACCAGGCGGGAGCCCACCTCAAGTGGGAGGACTACATACTTCTCTGGCCTTGCTATCCCTTTCTTTCTTTTTTCTTTTTCTTATATATTTTTATTGAGTTTTTACAGAGAGGGATAGAAAGCTAGAAACATCGATCAGCTGCCTCTTGCACACCCCCTACTGGGGATTTGCCCGCAACCAAGGTACACGCCCTTGACTGGAATCGAGCCTGGGACCTTTCAGACCGTAGGCCAACGTTCTATGCACTGAGCCAAACCGGTTTCGGCTTGCTATCCCTTTCATTGAGACTATGGGATACACCCATAGCCCTTAGGCAGGAAACTCCAGTAACAAAAACTTGCATAAGACAAACGGAGGTGGAGGCTGCTTCAACTAAACAGTGAGTGGTTAGAGCAATTAAGATTGTTGACCAGCCTTCCGGGTTTCCTGTCCACATCTTTCTATTAGTGAAACGATGATGGGGCCGAAACCGGTTTGCTCAATGGGTAGTGCATTGGCCTGCGGACTGAAAGGTCCCAGGTTTGATTCTGGTCAAGGGCATGTACCGTGGTTGTGGGCACATTCCCAGTAGGGTGTATGCAAGAGGCAGCTGATCGATGATTCTCTCTCATCGATGTTTCTAACTCTCTATCCCTCTCACTTCCTCTCTGTAAAAAATCAATAAAATATATTAAAAAAAGAAAAAAGAAAAGAAACAATGATTGGTTTCCAGGATGTCGTCCTCCCTCCTGGCTCCATCAGCCCTGCCCCTAGCGTGTGCACAGCACACCCAGCCACTGATCTGCCTTCTGACACTAGAGATTCGTTTGCATTTTCTAAAACGTTATATAAATGACTGGCATCTTTCCCTCTGCATAATTAACTTGTGCACAGAACATTTACCAACATAACTCTCAATAAATTTGAAAGAATTTAAATCATGCACAGTGATCTCTAATCAAAATGGGATCAAATATTAGAAACCAGTAACAGATATCTTGAAAACCTCCAAATATATGGAAACTAACACATTTGTAAATTGCCTGTGGGTCAGAGACTAAGTCGAAAGGGAAATCAGAAAGTTATTTACTTTAATAGATATGTACAGAGCAGTTACTGTATGCCAGACCCTGTCCTGGCCATTTTCAAAACTGGAAGTAGCTCAATTAAGCCTCATAACAATCCTAAGAGGAAGACAATCTCATGCCCATTTCACAGATGCTGAGCCTGAGGCACTGCGAGGGGAAGTGACTTGCCTGGGTGACACAGAACGGAAGTGGCCGAGCTGGAATTCAGGGCACGCGGATCTAGAGTCTGTGCCTCATGTCTCAGGTTAGTGAGGGACACTGGAGGTTTCAAATGGAGGAGGTTTCAAATGTCAGCTTCCCCGACAGTAAGATCACTTGGGGACAAGTTCAACAAAACGTAGGAGCTGTGTCTGCAGGACTCAGAGGCGTTAGAAATACAGAGTTGAGGAGGCAGGAAGAGGCTGGGCAGCAAAGGAAATGTGTGTGTGGGGTTGGGGGGGAGTGGACAAGTGGGGGTTGGAAGGTTCAGTGAAGTGGGTGAGCCATGTGGTACATGCTGGGAAGGAGGCGCCCAAGTTCTGAGAAGCTTTTCCTCTCAGGGGAATGGGAAGGGGTCCCTGAGGAAATACTGAGCTGAAGGTCCATTCGGACATAATTAGAAGACAAAGCAGGGATGGTGTTCCCGGCTAGAGGGACAATGCACAGCTAGTCCTGTGGGGTGATCCTGGAGTGGGGGGACAGGGAGCACCATGGGAACTGAGGACACATGGGCAAGCGGGTGCCCTGCGGGGCTCAGGGGACTGGTGAAGGAGCTGTCTTTCTCCCAGGAGTGATGGGTGTCAGGGAGCGTTTGGGGAGTGTGTGAAGGAGGGGATTGGCAGGGTTAGATCTGTGTTCTCAAAGCTCGCTCTGGCTGCAGGGTGGAGACAGAGCTGAGCAGATGCAAGGAGCAGTCAGGTGGCTACGGAGGTCTTCCAGGTGAGCTGATGCTTGTGTGGACAGTGGGAGGGACCTGGGAGGTGTGTGTGTGGGGAGGGGGCAGTGGAGAGAAATGGGATGATTCAAGAGGTATTAAGGAGACATACATGGCAGGGCTCATCCCGAACCCCTGTAGGGATGCTTGGGGTTCTAAAAGCTGGGGGTGGGGGGGAGGGAAACCATCACCTGGCTAGTGAGCCTGGAAGGATGCCAGGTCGGTGGGGGAAGTGGCCTCAGCATCCAGGTCTGGAGTCCCGATCTGGGCTGTTCTGTGAATGGCCTGCTCAGGTACTGTTCCGGAAGCTCTATCAATAGGCCAGGAAGAGAGTGAGTCTGCAGAGGAGACTGGGGTGGGGGGGAGGGGGGAAATGGTGGTTACCCAGAGGTCAAAGAGGTCAGGCAGGGTGAGCCGGAAGGCAAAAGCATTTGGAAGGTGGGAGGGACAGTAAGGTTGGAGCTTGCTGAAAAACAAAGGTTCCCCATGGCCTTGGGCAAGTTCTCTGCAGGGGAGGGGAGATAAAGGCTCCAGAACAGTTTCAAAGGGGGGGAGGGGGAGACAGGGGGGTTGGGATGGCTCCTCCACGGGAAATCCTAACCTCCTGGGCCCCTGCAGGAGTGGGCCCGGCGCCCAGTCAGGAGAGCAGGTGGAGGTGGGGGAGGCCGTGGTGACCTGGCACTGCCTACGGGGGCGACAGGGGAGCTGCCGCTTCAGTTGCTTCTCCTTCCTCTTCCTTCGCATGCCCGCCCCCTGCCCTGGCCGCTGGGGAAGCCCAGGCGCAGAGCCTGAGACGCAGCTGAGGCCACAGACACATCCTGCAGCTCGCCCAGCCAAGGCCGAGCCGCCCCACCGCGTGGGGGTCCTTTTCACCCTATTTTTTTCCGTTTCAACGTGATTCAGGACGCCCCGGCGTGGAGGTCACACCCTCCTAATGGGTCTCAAGCCCCGGGTTAAACATCTCGACCTTAGAGAAGCCCGGGAAGACGGGGGAGGGGATGTTCGGTCCCCGCTTGCTTACTTCCTAAGAAGATTCCAGACTGTTCCCCAAGGCCTGGGCGTGGGGGGAGCGGGGCCGCAGTGGGAGGAGCCAGGAACAAAGGAGCCGGAGTGTGGGTTGCAGGAAGGGCCGGGGCGGGACGGGGGTGCTCAGGTTCCTCACCCCCAAACTCCCAGCTGTGGAGCTGGCCCAGCACTCGTCCCTCCCGGCCTGGCTCAGGCACTTTGTGAACGGCCATTTAGAAATTGGCTTCGGCCTCAAGTCCATCACCCCCTGAAAGGATTCCTGGGATTATGTAAATTAACAATTATTTAAGAAACAGGTGCTTTATCAGTAAGTGTAGCTGCGGGTGCAGCATTTTGGTCTCCCAGCCAGAATTCCGCAGTGAGGGCCCTCAGAGTGATCTGTGGCTAAGGAGACCAGGGTGCTGGGTTTGGGGGGTTCGGGACTGTGTACCCCCCCTTCAGCAGGTTCCCTGTGCACAGCTGGGCGCGGGGACAGGACCAGCCCTGAAATCGGGCACTGGCCTGCGTCCCCAGATTCCAGGGGGACGGGCGGACCCCCAGCATTACTTCGGGGCGCCGGGAGGGCAGAGACGCCCTTCTGTGACGGCAGAAACCAGGGGTCCATTGCCTCCCCAGACACATGCCCTGGTCACCGCCCACGTACACCGCACGGGCCGGCCCCGCACCACGAGGTTCTGCAGACACACGTCCCAACTCCAGGGGCCTGAACCCGCACTCGCTGCCAAAGACACGCGGTCCCGTCTCCCAACGCCGGCCCTGGCCACCCCATGGCTGCCCTGTCCCTCAGGCCTCCAAACGTGCCCCGGATCCTGCAGTCAGTGCCCCTCACCCCTACCCAAGGCCCTGGACCTGGCACCAGGCCCCTGAGGCTGGGGCCCCAGTTTGGGGCCGCGAGGACCCCTTGCAGGAATCTGAGGGTCCGCCCTGCCTTTAGTGCTCGCCCCTGATACCGCGGGGACACTCTAAAACCACAAGTGCACTTTCTCGGACCTCGGACCTCTCCGACGTGAGCGCGCGCACCCCTGTGAGCACCCCCCCCCCCCCGCATGCGGATTACCGCCCACGCGCGCGCGCGCGCGCGCGCGCAAAGCGGAGGGGGCGGGGCGGGGCTGGGCCGGCGGCCCCGCGGGCGCGAGACCTTCCCGAGAGTTCCGGGCCGCGCAGGCGCGCTGCGGCGGCGGTTGGGTGGGGGGTGGCGCTGGCGGCTGCCAGGGCGCATGCGCAGGCGCGCGGCCGCGGCAGCAGTTGGGGAGGGCTCTTCCGGAAGGTTCCGGAGGCTTCTGGAAAGGCGCCGCGCGCGCAGGGCGGGCCCGCGTCTATATAAGGAGGAGCGGGCGCCGTGCGCCAGTTGATTCTGCGTCCTCGTGCGTAGTCGCTGCGGATCCTTCGCGGACCCTTCAGCCAAGGTGAGGGGGCGTCTGGGGACCTCTTGGGGGGTGGCGGCGGAGGACGTGGGGCTCAGGGGTGATCTCGGGCGCGCGCTGGGCGGCGGGCAGCGGGGGCCCGACCCGGAGCCCCTCGGCCCCGCGGGTGCCGGGCCGGCTCGGTGCGCGGTGGAGGCCTGGGCCTGCCGCGGGCCCGCACCCGCTTCGGGAAAGGCGGTGCGGCCGGGGACCCTGCGGCAGGGAGGGCCGCCCCCCGTCCGGAAGGCCTCTCCCGGGACCCGGGCCGCGGGTTCGAGCCGCGGTGAGGCGGCGCCGGTTGCCCGCGGCCTGCAAGCGACTCGGGCCCGGGTGGCGGCGCGGCTCGGAATGAGGTCATCCCTTTGTCGGCGGCCTCCTGTTTGCGTGGCCCCGCGGCCCCGCGTGGCCCCGAAATAAAGCCCCAAACACATGGGGCGGCCGCAGCGCTGCTGGGGACGTGCTGTGCGCGGTCCCAACGGGCTGTGCCGGGGTCGTTTGCAGATGCCTGAGGAGACCCAGACCCACGACCACCCGATGGAGGAGGAGGAGGTGGAGACGTTTGCCTTCCAGGCAGAAATTGCCCAGTTGATGTCCCTGATCATCAATACTTTCTACTCGAATAAGGAGATCTTTCTGAGGGAGCTTATTTCAAACTCATCCGATGTAAGTGGCCTTTTCTCTGCAGAGTTGGGTTTTGGTTTGAGCGTAATTTCACCACCTGGGGCTCTTTTAACGACGTGTGTATGTACATATATATATATATTTATTTATTTTTTTTCTTGGTTAGGCTCTGGACAAGATCAGATACGAAAGTCTGACAGATCCCAGTAAACTAGACTCTGGGAAAGAGCTGCACATCAATCTCATTCCAAACAAGCAGGACCGAACCCTCACTATTGTGGATACTGGGATCGGGATGACCAAGGCCGATTTGATCAATAACCTGGGCACTATCGCCAAGTCCGGGACCAAGGCGTTCATGGAGGCTCTGCAGGCTGGTGCAGATATCTCGATGATTGGCCAGTTTGGTGTCGGGTTCTATTCAGCCTATTTGGTTGCTGAGAAAGTGACCGTGATCACCAAACACAATGATGACGAGCAGTATGCCTGGGAGTCTTCCGCAGGAGGATCCTTCACAGTTAGGACTGACGTAGGTAGGCACCTGAGGGCACAATTTGCTGGATCAGCCAGTGGCCTTGGAGGTAGGGGTGCGTGGGGAGTGGGCCCCAAAGAGGCTGTGAAATTTGCCTGACGTTGGGGAGTGATCTGGTGAGCGGTGATAGTGTAATAGCCTAATAATTGAGGTTATTTATCTTGGGCGAGGCAGTTAACTGTTGTGGGACCAGCTCCCTCCAGGAAGAGTAAAGCTTGCTTTGTAAAGTTGTTTAAAAAGTGTTAGGTATGGCCGATGAGAGCTGAATAGATTGTAGTTTCTTACCCAGATTTGGCCATTGAGATTGGCATTGAATTGGTTTCCCTGCTTCTCTTCCAGGGGAACCCATGGGCCGTGGCACAAAGGTTATCCTGCACCTGAAAGAGGACCAGACGGAGTACTTGGAGGAGAGAAGGATCAAAGAGATCGTGAAGAAACACTCCCAGTTTATTGGCTACCCCATTACTCTCTTTGTAAGTTTCCATGCAGACAACCAAAGGGACTGAATTAAAATGTTTATTTAATCCTTTAAGATTTAAGGCAAAGACCCAAACTTCCTGTAGTTACTGGATTAGTCTGAAATTCTTTTAACTGCCAGGGTACCCAGGGCTATCTATAATAATAAAAGTATAATGTGCTAATTAGAGATAGGACCTCCTGCTACTAGGAAAGCCTGGGTCTTGGGTGCCAGAGGGAAACTGGTGCTGGGCGGGAAGGAAAGCCTTACTCTTGCCCCTCCCCCCCTCATTAAACTTTTTTAATGGATCTCAAAACTCTTGACAGGTTTTTGGTCATGTTTCCATTAAAAAGTACTGATTTTAAAAACTGCCACACACACACACACACACACACACCCTCACACACACCCCAAATGGTTTACAGAATATTCCAGGGAGACCTACTCTTGCACAAATTTTGTGCATCAGGCCTCTAGTATTTAGTTAAAAACACCAAGTATTCATGAAAGTTGCTTGTTAATGTTTCTCAGCTAATTTAGGCTTTGGTATAGCGTCTCTACCTTCATTTTGTTAATTTTATTCTAAAATGTGACTCTTTGCAGGTGGAGAAGGAACGTGATAAAGAAGTCAGTGATGATGAGGCTGAAGAAAAGGAAGAGAAAGAAAAAGAAGAAAAGGATTCCGAAGACAAACCTGAAATTGAAGATGTTGGTTCTGACGAAGAGGAAGAAGAAAAGAAGGATGGTGACAAGAAGAAGAAGAAGAAGATCAAGGAGAAGTACATCGATCAAGAAGAACTGAACAAAACCAAGCCCATTTGGACCAGAAACCCTGATGACATTACTAATGAAGAATATGGAGAATTCTACAAGAGCCTGACCAATGACTGGGAGGATCACTTGGCAGTGAAGGTGAGTGACTGCCAAGTCCGGCCAGACCAGTCTGCCTCTGCAGCTTGTCTGAAGTAGTTACATTTTCTCATCCCAGCCCTTCTCCCACAGTGCTTTGAGTTAAGGAATTGCAAGTGTTTAACCACTGATTACGACTTAGCATGTGTTTTATTACAGCATTTTTCAGTTGAAGGACAGCTGGAATTCAGAGCTCTTCTTTTTGTCCCAAGACGTGCTCCCTTTGACCTGTTTGAAAACAGAAAGAAAAAGAACAACATTAAGTTGTATGTTCGCAGAGTTTTCATCATGGATAACTGCGAGGAGCTGATCCCTGAGTACCTGAGTAAGTAGAGCTGGGTTTGAAGAATGCCCACTGTCATGGGTAAAGTCATTCTTAAATTAAGCAGGGGGGGGAGCATCTTTGGGTTTTGGGGCTTACCTCGTATTTGATTGATTTGTCCTTAGAGTGACTTTGGTCTTTATATTCTTTCAGACTTCATTAGAGGTGTGGTGGACTCTGAGGACCTCCCTCTAAATATTTCCCGGGAGATGTTGCAACAAAGCAAAATTTTGAAAGTTATCAGGAAGAATTTGGTCAAAAAATGCTTGGAACTCTTCACTGAACTGGCAGAAGATAAGGAGAACTACAAAAAGTTTTATGAGCAGTTCTCTAAAAATATTAAGGTTGGTATAAACACATTTGAGCATTAGTAATGAAACTAGCTTCTCAAATTTTAATTTTTTTTCAATGTAGAAAGTTTTACTAAAGCTAATGTTCTATTTCAGCTTGGAATTCATGAAGATTCTCAAAATCGGAAGAAGCTCTCTGAGCTATTAAGATACTACACATCTGCCTCTGGTGATGAGATGGTCTCCCTCAAGGACTACTGCACCAGAATGAAGGAGAACCAGAAGCACATCTACTACATCACAGGTAATGTCACCATGGTGCTCAGAGCCTCACGGAGCTGAGTGTTTTCTGTCTGTGTGGCTCTCTCTGTACATTAGTAGGTGTTGATCTAGGCAAGGTATAGTTAACTGAGCCGGCCTTATCTGTGGTGGTTAGTTCTAACCAGATAAGAACAGCCAAAGGAGGTGGAACCTTGTGGAAGATCTGAAAGTAATTCTTCAATACAGGGGAGACCAAGGACCAGGTGGCTAACTCAGCCTTCGTGGAGCGCCTGCGGAAGCACGGCCTAGAGGTGATCTACATGATCGAGCCTATCGATGAGTACTGTGTGCAGCAGCTGAAGGAGTTCGAGGGAAAGACCTTAGTGTCAGTCACCAAAGAGGGCTTGGAACTTCCAGAAGATGAAGAAGAGAAAAAGAAACAGGAGGAGAAAAAAACCAAGTTTGAAAACCTGTGCAAAATCATGAAGGACATCTTGGAGAAAAAAGTAGAAAAGGTGTGTTTCTTCTACCTACCCTTTGCTAATTTTTGACACTCAGAAGTGGTGGTAGATCCCATATTCCCCTCCCTCCTTCCCCCCTCCTCCCCAAAGTTAAGTACATTATATTTCAGATTCCTTAGATTTCCCTTCACAATAAAGCTGACATAGGTGCTGAGAAGTTGTTATGACAATCTTTTCAGCCCCAGACATAGTAACGCTTAATACTTTGATTACAGGTGGTCGTATCAAACCGGTTGGTGACATCCCCATGCTGCATTGTCACCAGCACATATGGCTGGACAGCAAACATGGAGAGAATCATGAAGGCTCAAGCCCTGAGAGATAACTCGACAATGGGTTACATGGCAGCAAAGAAACACCTGGAGATCAACCCAGACCATTCCATCATCGAGACCTTACGGCAGAAGGCGGAGGCAGACAAGAATGACAAGTCTGTGAAGGATCTGGTCATCCTGCTCTATGAGACCGCGCTCCTGTCCTCTGGCTTCAGTCTGGAAGACCCTCAGACCCACGCTAACAGGATCTACAGGATGATCAAACTCGGTCTTGGTAAGCCTGTTGTCGGAAAGAGAACCTTGCCACATGGCTGTTGGGGGGGAGTGTAACTTTTAGCTTACAGTTGGGATTATGCCATCCCACTTGAGAAACTAAAGTAACGTGTTGAAGGGTGGATAAATAGGTCCCTAGTCCATAAAGGAAAAGAAATGGGACTGATACTCAAATACCCTATAATAGTTTAGTGTTGAGAGCGATTATAAGCCAGGAGTAGTATTAGGCTAGTTAGTTGGTTTTAAGAAATTAATACATGGCTTTTATTTCCAAAAAGGTATCGATGAAGATGACCCCACTGCTGACGAGAGCAGTGCTGCTGTGACCGAGGAGATGCCGCCCCTGGAAGGAGACGATGACACCTCCCGCATGGAGGAAGTTGACTAGGCGTCTGGAGAACACCTGCCCCTCCTCTTCAGTTCTTTCCCTCCGTTCCCTTGGATAATATATTTTCAAGGACTTTTTCCTTTATTTTTGTTAACATTTTGAAAATATGTATGGCATGGCAACTACTTAAAGGGAAGACCGGGTTCCTTTCCCCCTCTGTGTATGAGACTGTGATATTCAGGCACTGAAGCCGGACTCCTTTTTCTTTCCCAGTTCCATGTTGGCCTGTTTTAACAGAATGGGGTTCTCTTTGTTGTAAGATATGTGTAGTCTAATGTTCGTTAGCTTTGTGGTCTGAAGTGTTTACCTCTCAAGCAGATTCCTAAGTAGACCAAATCTTTGTTGCTAAAGTGTTCTGAGATTCCTGGTTAAAACGGCCTTCATCCCCGAAGATCTACTTTTTGAGCCTGACGCTCCTGTAGTTATCAAATGCATGTATGGCCTCTAGAAGTTAGTATGCTAAGCTGACCAACACGATGGTAGTAACTCCCCATAGGGTTTGTCTCCAAAGAAAAGGATTGTGTAGCATAGCAGGAATATAAGCTACCTAGGCATGTTGTAAAGCCGTCTGACAGTAACTCAGCAAGTTTGTGAATAGAAGTGCCGTGCGCATCGCATTCTGCTTTAAAAAGTTATGGCAAATACAGACAAAAAGAAAAGTTTTGTGTGAAAGTGTCTTATTTGGGGGCTGTTGCTGATGTAACAGCACTGGGTATGCACATCCTGCCTACACAAGGGGAGGAAATGATGTTCACATTGACTGCCCCAGGTCTTCTGCAACTTCCCAGGGTTCAGGGTGTCAACAGGCAACATGCCTTCTGTCTGATATGGTCTCTGAACATTGTACATTGGGGTTGGTATGTCCAAGCTGCATGTCAGTGGCATTTCTGAAACATTGCAGTCTAAAAAGAGCCCCTTATGACCTTGGCCTTATCTCAAAGTAATTTTCTAAATCTTCTTACTGTCATCCCCCCTGATAATCTTGCCTTTTTTTTTTCTGTTGCTTATTGAGCCTCAAGGAAGAGGCATGTCTAGGTGGCAGAGCTGCTGGTATTAGTAGGAAGAGGATGATAATTGGTCTCAGAGGAGATACCCAGGGTCCCTTCTAGGTACCAGGGACAGTGATAGCCAAATTAGTCTTCCGTCCTGAAGTTGTTTAGAAGAATTGGTGTAGGTCCATGCAGGACTTGGGTTTGTAGTCTAAGACCATCTATAAAGGGTGTCAGTGACTGATGGGGAAAGGAGCGTGGGATTCCATACCCTGGGAAAGGCCAGTGCCCTAGTGCTCAGTAGGTTCTTAGTGGCCTGGTGAACACTAATCGCATTTACTCCAAGTCCTCTGAGGCAGAGGTTCTTAGGAATTACTAGAGGTGTCAGTATTTGAGCTCACATTTAACTCCACAGCCCACAGTCTTTCTGCTGTTGCGTTTACTGAGGTTATAGCTGGAGGAAGTGGGTGTACTTGCTTGGAGCTACAGCAGGCACTTGAGGGAATTTGCCAACTGAGGACTCTGACCCAGACTCTTCCCCACTATCCCCCTCCCTGTCCCCGAGCATTTATGGCAAGTAGGTAAGTACTGTCTCCACTGTCCTCAGGAACCCCTGTGCTGGAGATGGGACCACCCACAAGAGTCACTCAGCCCAACGGGCATACACCCTGCCGGCTTTGCAGGAAGCCACCACCAGGAGACTCATGTGACCACACATGTCCGCCCCTCCTGCTAAGGAGGAGGGTAAGGAGTGCTGAGAGAGCAGAGGCACAGGCTGAAAAAGGTAAAATGTATTCACAAAGATGGTCTGAGCACTAATACCTGAATTTAGCACAGTCCTAGATCAATATACAAAAACCAATTGAATCTGTTAGCAACACAAGTAAATAAGTGTTCATTCACAGTAGCATACTAAATTGAAATAAATTTACAAAAAGGCTTTGTAACACCTGGACACAAAAAATATTTGAGACCCAGGTAAACATACTGGTTCCGTGATGGAAAACTCAATAGTTTTAAGGGTTCTGAAAAGCATTAAGTGAAATGACCCAGTCAAAACGCTACCTACTATGTGATTTCATTTTTATATAATTCTAGAAAAAGCAAAAGTGAATCAGAAAGTGGGTAAGTGGGTGGCTGGGGCCAGAAGGCCTAGTGGGATTGATTGTCGAGGGGTGAGAGGGGACATTTGGGAATGTCCAAAAACTTAAGTGATTACATGGTGTATAAAAATCCATAGAGCTTAAAATGGGAAGATTTAATGGTTTACTATGCCTAATAGCAAATGGGGGGGGGGGGGGGGGGGGAGAGAGAAGCAGTCTACTGGCATTCAAAAGTGACCTTGAGCAAGTCGCTGGACCCCTTCATCTTTACCTCATTTATAAATGAGACAGTACCTTCAAGGCTGTTGGCCATTTTCTAGGTCAGGGGCTTAGCAGCAAGTGCTCACTAATGGACAGCTATTACTTCCCAAGACCCCTTCTCAGGTGGAACCTCTCCTCCCTGTCGTCATATGAGGTCACTTTACTCAGGTTCACTTCTGCCACAAATAAGGTCCTGGAGTGTAACCTCCTGCAACCCCAGCCTAAGCTTCACTCCTCTGGGAAGTTTTCCTAGACTCCTAGGAACATCCAGCTGAGAACCAGCCCAGTTCAGTTTGGGGCGGGGGGCAGAGCCAAACAGGGATGGCAGCTGCCGAGGCCCTGAGGACCCCAGCAGAGGTATAAGGACAGCCAGGAGGGGCGGGGTGTGGGCCAGGGCCTGGGAGGCCCCAGTGGCTGACAGGAAGCTGACCTCATTTAACCAAAGGGAGCAGGAAGCCTTCAGGATGAGGGCGGGTTCATGGCCAGGCTGGAGAGCCTGGGGGGTGCGTTCTTGGGAAGGAATGTGGCCGGTCTGATGAGAAAGCTGGAGGGTAGAAATCACTGTGTCTTGAACATTAGCCCCGGAAAACACATTTTACCATTTTAAGTGTACAGTTCAGAGCCATTAACTACATTTAAGATGTTGTGTAGCCATCACCGGTGGCTATTTCCAGAACTTAAAAAAAAAAAAAAATGTATCTGACGGAGGAGGGGAAAGAGATTGGTTTGTTGTTCCACTTATTCATGCATTCATTGGTTGCTTCTTGCATGTGTACCCTGACTGGGAATCAAACCCACAGCCTTGGTGTATTGGGAATGATGCTCTAACTATCTGAACTACCTGACCAGGGCCTATTTCCAGAACTTTTTCATATCCCAAACAGAAATCTACTCATGAAGCAGTCACTTGCCTGTGATGGGCCTCATGCCCCCAGGACCAGACTAAACCTTCCCATTGTCCAGCCTCAGTTTCCCAGTCCTTTTCTTTAGAACAGTCCCTGGAGCCTCTGCCTTTGTGGCATTTCTCACGATTTTCCTGGGGCGATTCATTTGAGGTCCCTCCTGCCTCCCTGCCGCCTGTCCCCAGGAAGGCAGACACGCCAGCCAGGGCGCCTGGGACTTATTTGTGGCATTGGATGAATAACAGGTATATAGAACTGTTGTGTTTCCCCCTTCCTACGGAGATGGCCATTTGCTTAAATAACTGTAATTTGCGAAGCTTTTGTTCTAAGCCTTCACGATCTGCTCCAACCTTTGAAAGTGTGATTCCAGATCACTCTGTAGGAAGGAACATGGCTTCGCCTCCCTGGGAAGAACGTTCCAGGAAGCCCTGCGCTCCTGTGAGTCACCGCGTATAAATAGCAGCATTCAAGTCTGAACGAAGATTCCACGGTGATAAGCAGACCAGCCAGCTGAGCAGATCGTCCACCAAGGGTGTCGGCCTGATCAACACACAGGGCGTCTTATGCAAGTACATTAGGGCCTCAATGCTTGACCAATGCGTGTTCTAGAGCTGGGTCGGGGGTCCAAAAAGCAGCACTTTTTTTTTTAATATATATTTTTTTAATTGATTTTTTACAGAGAGGAAGGGAGAGAGATAGGGAGCTAGAAATGTCGATGAGAGAGAAACATCGACCAGCCGCCTCCTGCCCACCCCCCATCGGGGATGCACCGGCAACCAATGTACATGACCTCGACCAGAATCGAATCTGGGACCCTTCAGTCCGCAGACAGACGCTCCACCACTGAGCCAAATTGGCTTCGGCCAGCAATTTTTTTTTTTTTTTAAATTCCAGATTAGAAAAACAACAACCCTAACACGTCAGAATGAAAAAGAATTGGCAGGTCAGCCACCCGCTTGTTACATAGCTGACTGGATGGAGACACAGCCTCTAAAACCCCATCTGGCTCTCTGAAGTGCGTCCTGGATTTTGTCACGTTTTCATCTGTTCCTTAGCACATATGTCTTTGTAACTCAGACATACACCAGGTGCTTGTATGATGAAATGCACAAGTCAGAATAAGGATGTTCATTCTCACCAGTTCTCACCACTCACTGGACTTCAGAGCCAGAGCCATTGGTCAAGAGAAAGGAAAAGAAGGCACCCTGATTAGACAGAAGGAGTAAAAAGTATCTCTGTGGATGACATGATCTTTTATAGAGAAAATCTTAAGGACTTCACACACACACACACACACACACACACACACACACACACTCCTCTATTAGAACAAGTTCAATAAGATTGCAAGATCCAAGATCAATATTTAAAAATCAGTTGTATTGCCAGCCAGTGTTGCTCAGTGGGTTGAGCATCATTCCATGCACCAAGAGGTCCAGTCAAAGCATATGCCTGGGTTGCAGGCTTGATCCCCAGTAGGGGGTGTGCAGGTGGCAGCCCATGTTTCTCTCTGATTTTTCACAGAGAGGAAGGGAGAGGGATAGAGAGTTAGAAGCATCGATGAGAGAGAAACACCAATCAGCTGCCTCCTGCACACCCCCTACTGGGGATGTGCCCGCAACCAAGGCATATGGCCTTGACTGGAATCGAACCCGGGACCCTTGAGTCTGCAGGCTGCTGCTCTATCCATTGAGCCAAACCAACCAGGGCTCATCAATGATGTTTCTCTCTCCCCCTCTTCTTTA